CCGCTCTAACCGTCAGGAAGTTCTTCCTCATGTTTAGCTGAAAACTCCTCTGAACTAACCCACTGGTTCTGGTCCGACCTTCTGGGGCAACAGAAAACAACTCCAGCCCATCCTCTACAGGACAGCCCTTCAAGTACTCGAAGACGGTTATCATACCACCTCTCAGTTGTCTCCTCTCTGTTCCACTCTGTTCTACCTATGTTTATGGCATTAAAATGAAGGGAGGGGGAGACTTGAGCTCCCTATTTGGTCTCTTAGAGGCAATCCTGATCCACCACAAAAGACCAGGAAGAGAGTTACTTACAAGTCTAGTGGTGGGCAAATCAGAGGGCTGAAGTTTAAGAGTTTTTCAGCACCCCTGAGAGTCAGACCCTTGAAGCCACGGCGTTGTTAAGTGCTGCTTATCACACGCCGGTGCTTCTGGGCACTTGCCGCCATGCGCTGGGCCGTGGTCCAAGCGATAAGGGCACGGTGTCGCACAAGTCCACTCACCTTCTGCAATTTGTCGATCATGTCCTCGATGCTGATGTCTGCCGACTGCAGCACTTTGCTCTCCATTTGCACCAGCCAAGCGCAGAGCTCCTTATTCTTTTCGTTGAACACAATCCAGGCGTTGAGCCGGTCCTCGATCTCTTGCTTGCGCAGAGAAACCTACAGAAGCAGAAAAGGCACGGCCGCTATTCCCCTGCATCGCAAGACTCAGACAAAACTTGCAAAACACAATTCAAAGGTCTGCATCGTCAAAGGTGTGGCTCCATTTCCTTCCATTGACCGATCGTGGTTTCGAGGTAGATTCCCAAGCCACTAATTGCTATTTTTTTTTGTAATAAATTATTTTAATTTTTTCCCCTTAAAAAAAACAGAAGCCACTATGTTGTTCCCATCTGGCTGGACTATGTGGTGCAAATGTGATCCAGAAAAGTAAACGGGTTGCATCCTGAATAAATTTTCCACTGACAGAAGGTGGCCATCTGACAGCAGTGCTGGTTCTGTGAACTTGGGCATGAGATGGAGGGCAGGAAGGGTTGCATCAGTGCTTAGTTCTCGTGGCCCTTCCTTATACCCCCAGGGAAATGCCCGCCACTTTGGGGGGGGGGGGTCAGGAAGCAATCCCCCCCAGCCAGTTTAATTGGGGACCCCGGAGGAGGTATTTTTGAATTTCCTGCATTGTGCCGGGGGCTGGACTAGATCACCCTGGAGGTTCCTTCCAACTCTATGATTCTAAGATGGGGAGGGTTGATTTTTGTCAGTTCCTCTTGCTGCTGAAGACCCCCAAAGTACACTTCATGCTATTCCCGAGGGCCCCCGATCTCTAGATGGTTTATAAAACTATGCATGGAGTGCAGAGAGTTGACAAAAAGAGATACCTGGGTTCAGCTCCCTACTCTGCCACAAAGCTGGCTGGACAGCTAGATTCGAGCCCAGTCGCACCTTTAAGACCAGCAAGATTGCCACAGAAGGTGGCGGCGGCTAGAAGCATGGACGGCTTCAAGAGGGAATTGGAGAAGCATATGGAGCAGAGGTCCATCAGTGGCTATTAGCCACAAGGTATAGGTAGGAACTCACAGGCTGGGGCAGGTGATGCTCTGTATTCTTGGTGCTTGGGGGGAGGGGGCAAAAGTGGGAGGGCTCCTAGTGTCCTGGCCCCACTGCTGGACCTCCTGATGGCACCTGGTATTTTTGGCCACTGTGTGACAAGAGTGTTGGACTGGGTGGGCCAGTGGCCTGATCCAACATTGGCTTCTCTTATGTTCTTATGTTCAGGGTATAAGTCTCCGAGAGTCAACGCTCCCTTCCTCACCTGATAAGGGAGCTCTGAATCTCAAATTCTTTACATCTGGAACCCTTGGTGGTCTCTAAGGTGTGACTAGACTCAAATCTAACTGTTTCTGGTGCAGATCCGCAGAAACAAGAAAGGGAAAAAAACTAAACCTAACAAAGAACTCCAAAACCAAACAAAGGTTAGTGGAAAGGAGGGCCAATATAAAAACTATTTATAAAAAGAGGTACATGTATTTATTGATAATATCAAATTAAAGCATATATAGGGGCCCAATTACAACCAATATACATAAACCATAATCATAACCAGGGCTAAAAAAATGACCTGACGCGTTTCGGCCGAATCGGCCTTCCTCAGAGGTCATACAAATGTGGCTAGATGGTAAATAGTTACATTCATAAAAACACAATCAAAAATATATACAAAATACAAATTCAATCAGGACCATAAAGAAAATTGTTCAGAAGAAAAATAACCAGGCACAGGGTAAATATGCGCATACAACCTTTTTAGTGCAATCACTAGCCCAGTAGTTATAAAATCAACCTATGGTCCACAAATAACCTTCTTAGATTGTGTTGCCATAATGTTCACAAGTAAAAAGCAGTGAGATCCAACACAAGTACCTGCTGAAAGCTTGCTGGGGGGACTTGGGCTAGCAATTCTCTCTCAAGCTAACCTACGGGGTTATTAGGAGGAAGGGAGAGCGAAAGGCACTGCTCCGAGCCTTTGCAAAAGAGGCTGCCATGCATTTGGGTAATGTGCATTTCCATCCTGAGAGTGCTGACATTCTCATGGATTCCTCTTCAGCGTCTTGATGATTTTAAGCCTCGCCTGTGCCGGATCCCTGACTTACCCATACCCATTGTTCCCTCTAAGCTGAGAACCCAGTGTTCCCTCTAAGCTAGCTCACAGTTTTTTAGCCTCCGGCTCACAGATTTTTGTCCTAGCTCAGGAAGGGATGGCTCCAGAGCCAACTAATTTGTGCAGCGGCCAAATCGCTCGCTCACAACTTTAATGCCAGCGGCTCACAGAGTAGAATTTTTGCTCACAAGACTCCACAGCTTAGAGGGAGCAATGCCCATACCTCCCCTAGAATACATCTGCTCCTTTGGTCTTCCCACCTCTTCCTGCAAGAGCATCTGGACGGCTAATCCCGTGGGGCTCCACACGCCAGCTGCACTGCCCCGCTTTTAAATGCTTACGGAGGCCGGGCTTTTCCTTCCATTGTTTGCAAAAGACATGCTTCTCTTTTGACTCTCCAGCCTAGGCATAGCTCTCCGACAGTGCACGGGGTGTGCTAATTTATCAGCTTTTGTGTATAGGACATTTTATGGCTAAATGCTTTTTTTCAGTGTGTGTGTGTGTGGGGGGGTCACACCTCAGGGTCTGACACTTCTGCCCAAAGTGTTTGTTCGAAGGCCTCTTGATTTGCGAAGCAGCTGGCCAGGGGCAATAAGTCCGAGTGGAAGACGGGCTCTGTGGTTCTCTCCCACAGCCTAAGTTTCAGGTGAAGTCTATACAGTGGTGGTCTACCTCATAGGTCTGTTGTAGAGTCAAAACAATAACGAAGATGACCAAGCATTTTGCAAACTGGGTTATTACTTGAGATTACAATAGAGTGAAGAACACATGGAATTTACTGCCACAGGAGGTGGCGGCGGCTACAAGCATGGACGGCTTCAAGAAGGGATTGGATAAACATATGGTCCATCAGTGGCTATTAGCCACAAGGTATAGATAGGGACTCTCAGGCTGGGGCAAGTGATGCTCTGTTTTCTTGGTGCTTGAGGGGGGGCAACAGTGGGAGGGCTTCTAATGTCCCGGCCCCACTGCTGGACCTCCTGATGGCACCTGGTATTTTTGGCCACTGTGTGACGGAGTGTTGGACTGGATAGGCTATTGGTCTGATCCAACATTGCCTTACATAAGAACATAAGAGACGCCAATGTTGGATCAGGCCAAAGGCCCATCCAGTCCAGCATTCATCAGCTCCAGAGCTCATCACCAGGGTGGGTCACATCACATAGTGTTGCTAACAGGCCTGGATTTTTTCCCGTCTCTTTAAAAGAGCTTTAAGATGTGGAGATGGACCTCTGAAGTTTTTCATGGCATGGAAGTAAAGAACATCCCTCGTCAGGTTGCCAACTTACAGGTGGTTAAAAATAAGAGAGATCATGGGTTGGAATGGTAAACAAAATATAACCGTGATATAACAACTATATCTTTGTATTATCGAAGCTTAGTGTAACTCCTTCACCTTTTCACAATCGACAAAAGTTTCTGTTTACAGACATCCCACCAAACGTCTAAGAATGAATGCGTGCCAATAGATATGCTAATGCAAACAGTCCTATTTTGTGGTCCGTTTTTCTTTTCTTTTTTCTTCTGTGTTATAGTTTTACATAGCACCTCTGGCGGTTCCCACAACGGTAAAACTACAACACGGAGGAAAAAAAAAAAGAAAAACGGGATCTGAGCCGTCCCGTTGTGGAAACCGCAACAGGTGCTACGTAAAACGATAACACGGAAGAGAAAAGGAAAATGGAACGCAAAATAGGACTGTTTGCATTAACGTATTAATCGGCATGGTATTCATCCTTAGAGGTTTGGTGGAATGTTTGTAAATAGAAACTTTTGTTGATTGTGAAAAGGTGAACGGGTTGCACTCGATTTACAGGTGGTGGCTGGAGATTTCACAGGATTACAATAGGCGACAGAGATCAGTTGGCCTGGAGAAAATGGCCCCTTTGGAAGGTGGACCCTACAGCATTATAGCTCATTGAAGTCCCTCCCCTCCCCAAGCTGCACCCACCCCCAAAATCTCCAGGCATTTTCCAACCAGCTGGCAACCTCTAGTAAATAACATCCCATTAAGTCTCTGTTAAAATGACATTTTGTCACCAGGCAGCTGGCAACCCTAGAACATGGGGGGTTTAAATAATGTGGGTGGGGGGTGGGAATCCGGCCACAATTGCATCTTTTTCTCCTCCTCTCCCTTTAGGAAAAAAAACCCCAGCTTCATGCAGAGCGGGAGAACTGGGAAAGCTTGTAGACTTCCCCTGCTGTCATTCCGATTGGCCCTAATAAAGGGACACTCCAAATGGCATTTGCTTTTAGTCTGTTATTTGGACCAACAATGTAAGTCCCGTGAACACTCCGAAGCGCTACATTGTTTTTGCTAGTAAACCCCTATAATATTTCTACAGTATACTCCCATAATTTATTTATTTTGTTTATTTAAAATATTGATTAACCTTGTGGAATTCAAGGCGGCTTAGAATATAACTAAAACAACAATGATTTAAAATAACACAGAAAGGACTAGGGTTGCCAAAAAAAAACCCTGTTTGGTAGGGGTCCCCCGCTTTTTGGGGGCTTCTACCCGCTGCCGGCCAGTTGCCGGGGAAGCCCCGCCCCCTAGCCCCAACACCCACCACCACTGCTCTCCCTTCTCTCTTGAGAGAGAGGAGAGAGAGGGGTGGCTGCGGGCCACGCGCCCGATCGAGATCGGGCATGCAGATACGCCAGCTCCCTGCAGTTAGGGGCCCTTTTAACTGCAGGGAGCCAGCGCCCCTGATCTCTGCGGAGGTCAGGTGCCGGGGGAAATGCTGGCTCCCTGCAGTTAAAGGGGCCCCTTTAACTGCAGGGAGCCGATGCTGGAAGAGTGGGCAGGCGAGCGGGACATCCTCAACGTGATGTCATCACGTTGGGATGCCCTGCCCCCTCTGGGAACGCCCCCCAAAGTCCCCCACTGGGGGTGAACATGGCACTTGGCAACCCTAGAAAGGACCACAATTTCAAGTGTCAGTTAGGACTGCCAATAACTAAAAACTGCATTAGTCAAATGCAGTCCTAAATAAAAATGTCTTTGGTACACCATCTAATTTTCTGTATCTCCTCTTCCGCTTTTTTTAAAATTAGCCTAGGTGGACAGGCCTGAACAACTTAAGCTTAAATTGTGCGAAGGTTAGCAACAGCGTCCCTCCCTTGTGTTCTACCGGGAAGTGATGGTCTTATGGCTACTAATCTATACAACTGACCCAGTGAGCATAAAACCAAGAGTGCTACAGAGTGACCCAGAGGTAAAGTGAATGGCTGTAACTGTGGGCTGCCTGAGACTGCAGAAATGCATGTACGCTAATAAAAAAGCGTGACTGCTGCTGGCATGTTTGTAGACTCTTCCTGCAAAGCATTCACTGGCTAATCTCTCTCTCTCCCCAATTCATTTCAACAAACTTTGCTGCCTCTGAAACTGAAGCTATGTTGCCACCTGAGAATCATAATACAGAGACTCTTGAATAATACCCT